GAGGGTAACCAGTTGTGCAGGATGCTGAATGATATATCTGACACTGAAGTGCTACACAGTTTTATGTATGTATGTATGTATGTATTTATACATACATACCAATCATGTAGCCATCCATCTCACTGAGGTGACTCTGGTAGTGTGTTAAAAGGTAAACCAGAAAAATTGCCATTACACCCATGAATAAGAAACTCAGATTTTGTACTCCTAACTATAGCCAGGCACAATACTAAGGCATCTTGCATGCTTGGAGTCCAACATATTTTCTTCATTGCAAAAGAGTTTGGCTCCTTATGCTTAAGTATCTTAACAATTTCTGTTGAAAAGCATCATGTCTGAGAGTGTATAGATGAAGCTTTGGGAAAGATATAAAAGTAGAATATCTCATAGGCAGTGAGGAATGAATCTATTATTATTAAAATAATTGCATCCTGTAGGAACCAATACACAATGAGGATTATGTATTGCTTCACTTATAAAATCCTTCCAGCTCCATTTGACGTCCTTTAAAAACTAACCTTTTTCATTTTAAAAATAGAAAACTGGCATGCTGGAAAGTAATGCATCACCTCCCAGGCTCATTTTTACCCTCCTTTGGGTCTCACCCCATAAGTTTTCTTAGAAAAAAAACAACAGATGACTACAGTTATTGCTTTGCTTGGAAGCATGCTCCCAGGGACATCCCTGATAGGTGACTGACTGGAGGGGACAGTAGGTAGTCTTATATTAATCCAATACTTTGTAACTGGCTGTGTGTCGCAAGGCATTTTTTTTTTTTGAGATACTGCAGAGTGCCTACAACATCTTCTTACAATTCTCAATGTGTAGCCCAGTCTCCCAAGGTTGTAAACTCCTAACATTATTGGGAGAAAATCGCATCTTTTTTTCCCACAAGTACCCACAAATCTAGGAATTAAGAAGTAAGAGATCACTGAATCTAAAAATTGATTTTCAGAAGCAGAACAATGTTTTCACACGCAAGTCTATTTGTAGCTATCCTAGGATGAACTTTCTTCACTTTGCCAGGCTAATTTATATACGGTAGAAAAGGTAATTTTGTTCTCACTATTATTGAACCTACTACAAATTATAGATCAGGACCTGTTTTCTACCTATTTCTGATCTGGTCATGTGTTTGGATTTCCATTTGGATAGCAAATACAAGCAAACATAAGTGACTATGTATACATTGGAACTAGAAGTGAAAATCCTAAAGGAGTGACTCCAGATACATTAGGCATTTTTCCAAACTTGAAAGTCTATGGAGATTCTCAGTCATCCAGGTCATGGATGACTGTAGCATATTTACTGAAGAAGCCTCTTGGATGAGAAGCAAAACATCTTTAAAGAAAAAATAAAGGAAGCCCAGTTGCCTTTTAAAAAGGATCTTTGGGACACCCAAACCTGGAACTTTCTGAGCTGTTCGTGTAAGTGGTCACTCTGTCGTCATCCTAGTCATTGTGGGAATGGCCACAGCCAAGCTGCATTCCTTCCAATAAAACTTTGAGAGAGTGCAGAAATCAGCCTTCTGCTAAAACTGCACTCCAGCAATAGCAGGTTGTGTTAGTGGGAATACAAATATACTGGAACAGGGACCATCTTTAGTGGCAATATTCACTTGGTTGATGGCTTTGGTTAAAAGCTATTAAACAAGAGGGGGGGGGAAAGCCCACAACAATGTTCACAATGAATCCTGAAACTGGCATAGGGTCTGTTTTACAATGCATACAAATTGTTGCCGCATAAGAAATTGATTTGGACTGTGTTGGTAGCTGCTCAGTTGTTAGTGTAAGACAGTGGAGAACCAAACTATAACAGGCATTGATCAATAGCATCTAAAAGCACAAAAATTTGCTTTGGCTGAAAACGTAACAGAAAGCTATTCAAAGGGAATAGATTTCATCAAATTTGATCACAACCGATTAGCTATTTTAACAGTATCTTTTCTAATGGGTTGTTCTTGTGTACAACTCTGTTTTGCACAGAAATATTGAATATAGGTGTTTAAAATATTCATATATCATCTCACGAGCATTTTCTGTTTCTGGGTTATTTTTTCAACTCTTCCTCATCTTTTTCTTCTCAATTTTATATTGGTGTTGTAGTTGTTTAATAATTAAATTTAATATGCTGATTTAAATTATTACAATGTTATTATTATTTAGAACTGGATATGCCTGCAAAAATGATAAAAGGGAAAAATGGCCAATGTTCCCCTCTCCCATTCATGCTTCATTGGATTAAAAAAAAAATCTTGTTGGCTGCAAAAAGCACCAGAGTTTGCTCTTTTAAACTAAAAAGCAGAACCACCTTAGTGGGAAAATGACCAGGTCAGCTCAGCTGCCCAAGGAACAGAACATTAAGTAAATGTTGCAGAGTGTTACCAGTCTGGAAGTGCCAATTTCTATATAGAAAGGCCAAAGTCTAGTATTTAAAATGCAGGCAGCTATGCTTAAATAAACAGAATATATTGTGGCAAGTAATAATGGAGTTTCATGCATACCCAATCTTCCTACCATTTATATATGAGCTTTATGTATCTTATATATTACTTTTATCCAAAAATAAAACACCATTACCTATCTCCAACTTACACTACTGTTTCAAGCATTACATAACTTATATTTGGTATCAAGAGGATTATGAGCTAATTGGGTGGGTCAATAATCATCCCAAGTGAATGCAACCACATGTTTATTGGATCCGTGTCCCTCCTGGCTGGTACTGGCGGCTCGGGAGGGTACACGAGCCTGGCTCCAGGGAATTATAAACGCTTCTTTACGGGAGGGTGCCTTCCCCGCGGTCCTAAAGGAGGCGGTGGTGAGGCCCCTCCTGAAGAAGCCTTCCCTGGATCCAGATGTATTGGCTAACTATCG